AAACCTGTCCTTTCACTTACCAATTAATATCTTACCATTATGGTATTAAGAAAAAGAATAAGAAAGAAGAGAAGACAAACTGTTCATAGAATTTTCTTTAAATTGATAGTTTCCCAAATTTTGAACTTTTGTTCAGGCAACTAACAGAATGTCACATTTCTATTACTGCAGTCTCAAAAATCTCGTCGTGAGGAACTCCGGATTCATATTGCAAACATATACCGAACTGTTGCTGAGAAAATCTGGCCCGGCATGCTGAGCCGTAAACCGGTTTTCCGTCTTCATTATCTTAGGTTCATTGATGAGACAACTAGGCAGATCTTAACAGCGATAATTGAGAACTTTCAAGAAATGCAACCTCTCCGTTATGCACTTGCTTCTGTTCTAAGGTCTCTTGCACCTGAATTTGTTGAGTCAAAATCAGAGAAATTTGACCTCAGAACCAGAAAACGACTATTTGATCTTCTTTTGACCTGGAGTGATGAAATTGGCAGTACATGGGGCCCGGATAGTGTAAGTGATTACCGACGTGATGTTGAACGTTACAAGGCTTCACAGCACAACCGGTCAAAAGATTCTATAGACAAAATTTCTTTTGATAAAGAACTAAGTGAACAAATTGAGGCAATTCAGTGGGCATCCATGAATGCTATGGCTTCACTTTTGTATGGGCCATGCTTTGATGACAATGCAAGAAAAATGAGTGGCAGGGTGATATCTTGGATCAATAGTTTGTTCAATGACCCTGCACCTAGGGCTCCATTTGGTTACTCTCCATCAACTCCATCTTATTCCAAGTACACAGGAGAAGCTGCACGTGGAGCTGCTGGTCGTGACAGACATAGAGGTGGTCAGCACCGTGTTTCCTTAGCAAAATTGGCTTTAAAGAATCTTCTTCTTACAAATTTGGACCTTTTTCCAGCTTGTATTGATCAGGTAAAACTTTACATTTTGATTGGGTGCATGCATCACTCTCCTGTCTGGAAAAGCTTTACGTTAGGGTGATACTAATGTTTCTTATTTAAATTTAAAAATTGAGAACAATCTGTGCCACCTGGTTAAGAGTAATAATCTGATGTCTCAAGCACAAGGTCTTCCTGATGTCTAAAATACTGGTTTGCTTTGCCCTTTCGTCGTTCAATTATTTTGCTATTTTATCGACTCATGGTCTGGGCCTAATCCATCATTACACTCCTGTCTGTATTTACAGCATTTTACCAGTCTGTTTTTTCTGTCATGAACATTGATGAGTTGTGTTGACTTTCAGTCTTTATAACTGATTAATTAGACTTTTTTGCCAGTGCTACTATTCTGATGCTGCTATAGCTGATGGTTACTTCAGTGTCTTGGCTGAGGTCTACATGCGCCAAGAAATACCTAAATGTGAAATACAGAGGCTTTTGAGCCTGATCCTCTACAAAGTTGTGGACCCAAATAGACAAATCCGTGATGATGCCCTTCAGATGCTTGAAACACTTTCTGTTCGTGAGTGGGCTGAGGATGGTATTGAGGGCTCAGGAAGCTATGGAGCTGCTGTTGTTGGCAATCTTCCTGATTCCTATCAACAATTCCAGTACAAGCTTTCATGTAAACTTGCCAAAGATCACCCTGAATTAAGCCAGCTTCTTTGTGAGGAGATCATGCAGAGGCAACTGGATGCTGTTGATATAATTGCACAGCATCAGGTCCTAACATGTATGGCTCCTTGGATTGAGAACCTAAATTTCTGGAAACTCAAGGATTCAGGTTGGAGTGAAAGACTACTGAAGAGCCTTTACTATGTAACATGGCGACATGGCGATCAGTTCCCTGATGAAATTGAAAAATTATGGAGCACAATTGCTAGCAAGCCAAGGAATATTAGTCCAGTATTAGATTTCTTAATCACAAAAGGAATTGAAGATTGTGATTCAAATGCATCTGCTGAAATAAGTGGTGCATTTGCCACATATTTTTCAGTTGCGAAGCGGGTTAGCTTATATTTAGCACGGATTTGTCCACAGCGCACAATTGATCACCTGGTTTACCAATTGGCTCAACGGATGTTGGAAGATAGCATTGAACCAGTTGTGCCTAGTGCAACTAAGGGTGATGCCAACGGAAACTTTGTGTTGGAATTTTCTCAAGGGCCTGCAGCAGCCCAAATTGCTTCCGTTGTGGACTCCCAGCCACACATGTCACCATTGCTTGTCCGTGGTTCCCTAGATGGTCCCCTTAGAAATACTAGTGGAAGCCTGAGTTGGCGAACGGCGGGTGTGACGGGGCGAAGTGTCTCAGGCCCATTAAGTCCAATGCCTCCAGAATTGAATGTTGTTCCAGTGACCACAGGACGCTCAGGGCAGCTCCTTCCAGCACTGGTGAACATGTCAGGCCCCTTGATGGGAGTTAGAAGTTCAACAGGAAGTTTGCGGAGCCGCCATGTTTCTCGGGATAGTGGAGATTACCTGATTGACACTCCAAACTCTGGTGAAGATGGTTTACATCCTGGAGTTGGTATGCATGGTGTTAGTGCGAAAGAACTTCAGTCAGCATTGCAGGGGCATCAACAGCATTCATTAACTCATGCAGATATAGCGTTGATTCTACTGGCAGAAATTGCATACGAGAATGATGAAGATTTTCGCGAACACTTGCCTCTGCTTTTTCACGTCACATTTGTTTCAATGGATAGTTCAGAAGATATTGTGCTAGAGCACTGTCAGCATTTGCTTGTCAATCTATTATACTCACTTGCAGGCCGGCACTTGGAACTGTATGAGGTAGAAAACAGTGATGGAGAGAACAAGCAGCAGGTTGTAAGCCTGATAAAATATGTTCAGTCGAAGAGAGGGAGCATGATGTGGGAGAATGAGGACCCCACAGTTACAAGAATGGAGCTTCCTAGTGCAGCACTTCTGTCAGCACTTGTTCAGAGTATGGTTGATGCTATCTTCTTCCAAGGAGATCTACGTGAAACTTGGGGTGCTGAGGCACTCAAATGGGCCATGGAGTGCACATCAAGACATCTTGCATGCCGCTCACACCAGATCTACCGTGCATTGCGGCCTAGTGTCACAAGTGACACATGTGTATCTCTCCTTAGATGCCTCCACAGGTGCTTAGGAAATCCAGTGCCTCCAGTCTTGGGATTTATCATGGAAATTTTGTTGACATTACAAGTAATGGTAGAGAATATGGAACCAGAAAAGGTTATCCTCTACCCACAACTCTTCTGGGGATGCGTTGCCATGATGCACACAGATTTTGTTCATGTTTATTGTCAAGTGCTTGAGCTCTTCTCACGTGTGATTGACCGTTTATCATTCCGGGAGAGAACAACAGAAAATGTGCTCCTTTCAAGCATGCCTCGTGATGAGCTTGATACTGGTGGTGACATTGGGGAATTTCAACGAATCGATTCACTAGCATCATCCAGTGGGAGTCTGCCTACATTTGAAGGGGTGCAACCTCTTGTGCTTAAAGGGCTCATGTCAACTGTTAGTCATGGGGTTGCGATTGAGGTTCTCTCGCGAATCACTGTGCATTCATGTGATTCTATATTCGGGGATGCAGAGACAAGGCTCCTGATGCACATCACAGGTTTACTTCCCTGGCTCTGCTTGCAGCTCAGCAAGGACACAACAGTTGCACCTGCTTCACCACTCCACCAGCAGTGGCAAAAGGCTTGCTCTGTTGCAAACAACATTGCACATTGGTGTCGAGCAAAATCACTGGATGAATTAGCCACTGTTTTTGTGGCTTATGCCCGAGGAGAGATCAAAAGTGTTGAGAACCTCCTTGCTTGTGTTTCACCTCTATTATGCAACGAATGGTTTCCAAAGCACTCAGCTTTAGCTTTTGGGCACTTGTTACGACTATTGGAGAAAGGACCTGTTGAGTATCAGCGCGTGATTCTGCTCATGCTCAAAGCATTGCTTCAGCATACGCCCATGGATGCTTCTCAAAGCCCACATATGTATGCAATTGTGTCACAGCTGGTGGAGAGTACATTGTGCTGGGAGGCACTCAGTGTGTTGGAAGCCCTCTTGCAGAGTTGTAGTTCGTTGCCAGGTTCCCACCCACACGAGCCTGGGTCATATGAGAATGGTGCTGAAGATAAGATGCTTGCTCCTCAGACCTCATTCAAAGCTCGGAGTGGGCCGTTACAGTATGCCATGGGATTTGGGTTTGGGGTAGCTTCAACACCAGGCGCAGTAAGTGGAATTGAATCAGGAATCCCACCTAGAGAGGTGGCTTTGCAGAACACACGTGTGATATTGGGACGAGTACTTGACAACTGTGCCCTAGGGAGGAGAAGAGACTATAGAAGGCTGGTGCCTTTTGTAAGCAGTATTGGAAACCTATGATGACCGTATAATTAGTTTTAATAACTGTAAATGTATTCTAAATGCAGCACTACTGGAAATTTTAGGTACATGATTTGTAAATAGGCATTATAAATTAGTAGCAGTTTTTGAGCCAAAATTAGTAATTGTAGTATTTTTAGTCTCTATTTTGCAAATTATAGTAGTTTCATTGCATTAAATATCAAAGCGTTAGGAGCCATAGTACTCCAGATATTCATATAACTGGAGCTCTATTTGATTTAGAGCAACAACAAATGAAGAGGAAGCCTGTTTTTGAAATTGGTATTGCAAATTTGCAAGGAGTGCCTCTTCTCTAGGGAAACAAAATCTCTAAACATCCAACAGAAAGACGGGAAAAGACTCTGCTTTCTCAAATTCACTCCTTAATTAAGCTTGCAAATTTTACTTGAAACTAACAGTTCCAAACCCTAACTCGGGAACCTCAAATGTGCTAAATTGCATTTAACATCAAAATGGTTCATTTCATGATTCTCCTGGTAGAGACTTCACTTCCAAACAAAATTTACAAGCCTGTCCCGCACAAAGAGTTAACTTCATTCTAGAAAAGTTTATTTTCGAAAATTCAGCTATGCAATTGAATCAATCACAATGCATAAAGCCTGTAGAAGCAGGAAAAGCACACTGCAAAATGGCTATAGCTAGAAAAAGCAGCGGTCATTTTTATAATTTGATTCAGGTCCAACACAGTAAAACTAAAATAAAGCACAAACCAGAACAACAATCCACATAATACACAATCTGAAAGGGTTTAGGGAACGTGTATGTCTTTAGCAAAGTGATTTTATACATTTATCCGAGTGCTCATCTTATTAATACTTCAACTCATTACACCTTCCTAGAGGACTCAGGTTTTAAGTTCGACTGAATGATTCTGCAAATTAAGGTATCTTAGCTTAAAGATGACCTTGCTTCTCAGTTCATTTCACAGTATGAAGCAATATGAGAGATCATTCGCGAGGTGATGAGTTCTTTTTAATCAATGCATAGGCATCACTATATATGGCCACCAAGTTTGAGAATACAGCAAGGACAATCATGAAAATACACAAGATCTTGTCCTTCTTTGTTGCTATATCATGACGATTCCTGAAATACAAAGGTGAAAACAGATACTGATTGGCACCTGATCAAAGATAACAGAACGGTGATAGTGTGCTGATTCAACTATAACTATCAAATTTTACTTCAAGCCAATTAGTTACTATTGTTTCATAACATGGACGTGTTTTCAATTTTTCTTAGGTATATAGAATTTGGCATAATCAACCATGAACAACTAGCCTACATGACCTGTCTGCAAATTAGTACATACAAATTCATACTAAGAATTAAAATATATATAATAAGAAAAGAGTTGAACTTGCTAGTTCAAGTAATCAAGTCATAAACATACCTAAGAGTGATGGAAGCAGGAAAAATGAATCCAAGGCAAACCGCAGCAGTTGCTCCAGTGAATTGGAAAGCATCCCAGATGCTTGGAATGAAATTGGCACCCAAGAAGATCAGAGCGATTAGTCCAATGGTAATTGATGCAAACCTCATATTTTCCTGATGAAGAGGCCTTGCTGAGGGAAATAAGAGACCGTCCAAGTTGAGTCGTAAGGGATAAAAGACGATTGGAAATACAAGCATGAGATGAGCAGCATAACTAACACGGACAGCATCATTAAGCAGGGAACCAAAAGGGATGCCAAGGTCAGTATCAAAATTGGCAAGCACATCATCAAGAGTTCCATCACCAAATAGAAGAAATCCAAAGATGCTGGTCATTATATACACAATTGAGCACAAAGCAAGTGATGTTCGTACAACTGCTTTAATCTGAGTAGAGTCCTCAAGTTCATTATCTATGCTGTGAACTGTAAATAGAGCATTAAATCGATTAGTAATTGTCTGTATAATGATTCCAATTTAAAGGTAAAAAACAAAACACTAACTAAATATCTGTCCCCAAGCATCAAGTAGAATATTATCAATTAATTTTAAATTAACCAATCTTTATTAGCCAAGACCATTAATTTTAAATTGGTGCGTGTATAAAATAATACAAAGTTCTGATAAAAGCCATCACATTCAAGTGTACTTCATATTCTGGACGCCGGTACACAAATATGAAACCTAATCCAAGGAAATATATAAAATGAGTTAACTTAAGGGCAGCCAGCTTTGTTATCTTTCATAAGCAGAACAACTTAATTATTCTAAGAAATAATTCATAAATTCAAAATATAAAAGAGTAGTCTTTACAAAACTAACTGGCTTAGATACGGGTTGTAAGGAACTGGTGCTAAACTGAAACAAATTTACTTAGAATTTGGCAATGTTCATGATGATAGATCGGGTATATATTAAACAAAGAAAGCATTTCAAGCAGCTATTAGACAGTTAATACTATCTCGATATTAAATTATTAATGAACCTATTGCCACAGTTATGTTGATAACCTTTAAGAACAAAAGAATCCAGGTAACTATAATATAGCATACCATTGTAGTGGCAGATGTATGCAGTGACAAGGACAGGGACAACGGTAAAGAGTTTCCAAAATGATGTCAAATCAGTAACATCAGGTAGCAATCTGGGCATCATTATGCTTCCATTTATCAACTTGACAATTGTAATTCCCACAGTGATGACAAGGAAAACGACTGCTAGAGCAACTGATAAGGCAGATGTGAAGCTTAAAGAATCTGTAAACAAAAAATTTCACAATCATTCTCCACAATGTATGTGCTAGTATAAGTTGTACTATAACTAAATTGCTGATAAGGATATGGTGTCCAACTGACATGCCAAAGAGAATGATCCAAAATGGATTGCTGGTAAAGGAGCTCATTAGACCCCAATATTATATTACAAGCAGCAACATAAAGTAGTTTGAACATAAAAAAATTCAGATTGTTAGCATCTAAAACTGCTAAAGCTCATAAATTATTTATTTTAGTATATAGCCTAACACATAAGGAATCAAGATAAAAAATAATGACACTTTTCAATTAAGACAAAATACTGACCGATTCTCTTAAAGCAAGCGAGTGGAGAAAATATAGCAAGTGTTGTGACAAGAACGACAAAGAAACGTGCAGTGAACCAGTGTTCTCCAAACCACCCTTCAAGCACACCAGCATGGTGAACTCCACTTGAAGATGTTCCAGAAAGCACATCACCTTCAAATACCGAGACAGGAAAACATTAGCATTTCAGTCCTTTCCACAAATATCAATAACTACTTTCGTTATACCATCTATTAGGAATTAAAAACATGAATTAAACAATACCAGACTCTCCCATATTTGGTAAGATTAGGCAAACTGTCATAAATACACATATCAAATAGTTTTATGAGGAAAATTAGAGTGGAATGAAAGCATACCAATAATTATCATGTACACAATGAGTACACCAATGTTGTTAACCAACACAGCAAGTTGCAATAAAATCCTCCCATACTTTCCAAAAGCATCTCCCATAAGTCCTCCATAGGAAGCACACTTCCCTGCCCTGCTAAACCTAAGCAGCAGCTCAATTGAAGCCTCTGTCAAGAAAGCCATAAAGATGATCATGGCAATCCCAAGTACAAGACCTAACACTTTCATGGTAGCAGGGAGTGCCATGATTCCAGCACCAACTACAGTAGTTGACAAATTAAACACTGCTCCAGTAAAGGAGGCGCCATCAAACTCATCAAAACCTGCAGCATCCTGTTCCCTCTTGGGCAATAAGGGAGCATCCTCATTAATTTGTTTGCTCTTCCTTGACTTTGTCTCCTTCTTTGGAGCATGATTTTCAATTGTCATCTTCTTTAGCAACTTAAAAACTATTCCAAATACAGATTTCAGACTTCAATACAAAATCTACAAAGCAGCTATAGTAAAGTTAGAATATCTGTAGTTCATGAAAATTCAGAATTAGCTCCACAATTCTACAACTACTGGTGTAAGGAAATGAAATTCAAGAAATTTACAAACTAAATCATTTACTAACCTGTAATATCGGTTTGAACCGAATTCAAACTCGAGGCTTTTTTTTTAAAAACTCTACAACGAGCTTCTCAGCAGGAGGGGGGAAGATTGTTATACCCCAATGGCCCAGACAACCAACTTTGATAATCCGATCTGTCAATAACTAGATCTCTTTCAATATCAGCCAGTCAACTATGAAACGAACTAATAATCACAAGGCCTCAAAATTAAGCTTTGTCAACAAACTAAAACTTCAATCACAAAAATTAACACTAAATAATTTACAGCAGAATTTGAAATCCTTAAGATAAAAAAGAAAAAAAGAATCAAACCCAAGTCCCCAATCCCCAATACCTATGGCTGTTTTTCTTTGACCAATTTGTCAAAAACTATCACCCTTGAAATAAATGAAAACCCAGTGGGAAACAAATGAAGAAAATAAAGATTGAACCAGAAAGATGAAGACTTGGTAGAAACCCAAGAATAAGGAACAATACAAGATAGAGATTGTATTATAATCCTCAGTTCTTGAAGCCACGCAGCTTTAATTTATAAACAGCCAAAAGAGAGAAAGCTACACGGAACGACAGAAAAAAGTCTTCGAGTCTGTGCGTTTGTATGGACGGCAGACGTCCGATAGATACATACGAATTGACCAGTGAACAGAAGGTGAATTATTATGAAATTTCACACCAAAAAATTATGGGTCAAAAAGGCTTCTCAGATTTTTTTGGGGGGAATTACTGCTCATGGGGGCTTGTTGTCGATGGCCGAAAAAAATAAAAAACAGATTTTTCCCTTTTTAATTTGTTTAGATGGTTCTATTATATTGGAAAAAAAAAATGACAACTAATTATCATCAAATCTCAATTATTACCATACTTGCCTGAGTTTTGTTTGCTGGTAATGATTTTGAATTGAAAATTTTTCCTACATGGGAATAAGAAATAAATGTAGGGTCTTGTTTCTATCTTGTTGTACTTTTCTTTCCACCCACTTGGCAAAAACTAATAATTAAACGAGATTTATCATTTTGGTGTATAATCTATAGAAAGCAAGTAATCTCAATTCAAGAATATAGCTGTATTCAAAATCCCCATGAGTCCACCAAAAGAGAGAAAGAACGCGATATAGAAAATAATTTTCAACCTTTGCTAACTTGAAGAAAACAAATTACAGTAATTAGTAATAACTCTAATTTTATGGGCCAAGCCAAAGAGCTAATTGGGAAATAAAAAATCCTATTGGGCAATAAAATATGTGACCTAAAAAAATAAACTCTAATTAAAATATTTTTTTAAACTTTTCCTTATTAATATTGAACATCCTACAACAAATATTTTATTTTTTCTATATGAATATTGCTTATACAGAAATTATACAAAATACTTCTTGATATTTTCTTAAAGGATAAGAATTGAAACAAATAAGAAAATTAAATTTTATCTTAAGTCTTCTGGTCTAACACACTTCTGTGTCACTTTAAAAAAATAAAAAAATTCCTCTTTGCCTTATTAATTATGTCAAACATGTTAACTAATAACCATATTTTATAATTTTTCAAAAATAAAATAAAAAACTACTATGTATGCACAAATATATAAAGTATGCTTAATTATTAGGAATACCTCAAACTTTGAAATTACCACAATTTTTGCACTCTAATTTAAACTTTTTAATATTTATATTTTAAATTGGGAGAGTAATTATAAAGTAAATCTAAATTAAGAGTAGGGTTTTAAATAAAAAATTTTAAATGGTGGGTTAATTTTTACCAAGCATAGTGTAAAGCCACACACCACATCTAAAAGGCTAAAAAAAATTATAAACTCTTCGGTTTGGCAATTAATCACAGTTAAGACTCTTCGTCCCTCCATGTAGGTGCATTTAGTGAGGATTGAATCCAAAAACTCTTTCCACATGATTAGCATGCATTGCCAATTGAGCTAAATGTCATTTAACTTGCTGCTATTTTTGATTCAGAACAGTAAACATAAAGACATAGAATTAATCCAAAAATAAAAGAAAAAATGTTATTTATATAGCTATTCTTAAAGTAAGAATTTTATTTACCATTATTACTAAAATCAAAAAGAAAAAGATGAGAGATAAAAATAGAACTGGGTTGATGTAACCATGGAGAATGGATCCAAAAGAGTTGCTAATTTGGCAATTTTGTCCCCATTAATTGTAACCAATTAAAAATTTTAACATAAAGAAGAGACATTCTTTCAAAAAAAAAAAAAAAAAAAAAAAAAAAACAAAAAAAAAAAAAAAAAAAAAAAAAAAAAAAAAAAAAAAAAAAAACATAAAGAAGAGACAATAACATTTGTGGTGGACAATTCACCAATGTTAATGTCATCTATTAGATCTCCAATTTCCACATCCTTAATGAATTTGTCTTCTTTGTCATTAGTTAGGCACAAACCAATAATCTTAAAACCCCTTTGTAAAAAATAAAAATAAAATAGCACATTCATTGTCTATTAATTATATTTATATGTTTCATAATTTTTTATTATAAATATGGGGCTGAGGTTGCACCACTTGTAAAGATTGATTGATTTGTGAAATATTAGGAATCCATGCCAAGTAAATAATTGATAGAATATATTTAAATATTAATAGGTTTTAACTTTTATTAATAATTATGTGATTCATGAAAAAGATCTATATCTAACTTACCGCGAAATCAAAATCAAGGAAGATCACTTTATTTGCCGCATCCTTTAAATAATGTTAAAGACTTTAATTGAATCATGACGTTGTAAATAGAAAAAATTAAATTAAGAGAGTCGCTTTCATAAAAAAATTTCTATAGAATCTAAAATCCGAATTAATCGCGGAGATTACTAAAATAAAAGAAAGTGACCTCATAAGGTGAATGTTGATCAAATTGTCACGTGCTTCTTTTTTTTTTTTTTTTCTATTTTATTTTTTCAAATTAATATTATAAATTAATTCTCGGTTTTTTACTAAGGATGTGTTCAGTGTTGAAATTCAAATTATTTTTCTAAAAATTATTTTTTATATTTATTGGAGAACATAATATTTTTGGATTATTATTGAAATATTCTAAAATTTGTATAATTAAAATATATGAAATTCACTTTTAAAATTAAGAACACTTTGAACAAAAGTGTTTCTAAGCAATTCAAATAGTTAATAGCTGAAACGACCCGAAAATTTAATTTCGTAGAATTTTCATTTAAAAACTAAATTTTTTTATTTCAACCAATGAGATTATACCAGCTAGTAATGAGATTATTATCCAGCTAGTTTTTATTATTTGCTACTGGACCGTAACCAAATTGATTTTTTTTTGAAAACCCAAAGCCAAATTGAGCCAAATCTCGGAATTAGACCGAACGGTTTTCGAAATCGAAACGCGGAATGGTCTAGAAGCGTTAGCCCTCTTTCTTTTCTTTCTTTTTTCCTTTTTTCCTTTCTTTTTTTTTCCAGCGGAGTCGCGTGTCCCTAACCACGTTACCTCTCCTTTCGTCTCCGGCCACCACTCGATGCGGAACGGAGTGGCGATTCAGTTCGTCTGTACGCTCGGTGCTGTCCATTGATTCATGAGCCCCTCCTTCCTGGCCGATCGGGACTGCCTGCAGCGGCGCGGATGGAGCCGCCCGGAAGCTCCTTCCTCATCTAGGCGATCACACCGTCTGGCGGTTTCAGTGGAGGAGACAGGCCAATGATCTCTCCACCCGCTACTGAGTAAATTCCCCTCCATAACTTTGCGATTCTCATCAAGGTTTGAGATGATCCGTGTGCGGAGGAGGTGCAGCTGCTGTCGGGAGCCCGATCCGGCCAGATATAGTAGGACCCGATCTCACTAAAATTACTAACTAGAAAAGGAATCCTTGTCTATTTTGGAGTCGAGTGGGTGTGGATCGTGAATCGGGTCGGTGTTGACCGATTCCGCCAACGCGTGGTACGGCGGCGGCGGCGGCGCTCGGCGAGACTGGCTCGGGCGAGGACTCCTGTCCGAGAGGCCAGAAATGATCTCCTCTTCGCGTGGATCATGGAATTGTGGTCCGATTCTCCAATTGGTACGCCCTAATAACTATGTTCCCATTATTTGTTTGTAAACTCAGTTTTAAACTATTAATTTAATCAAGTTGAGATCAAATAATAACCCTTGTTTATTGCAATTATTAAAACCTGGTATATGATGTAGTTGTAAAATTTATTTATTTTGATACATTGTCAAACGTATTTCAGTGATTATTATTTATATCTAGAGGTTTGTTGAGTCTTCGAAGCTGTGGTAATTTTTGAGCGTGATTTAAGGAGGATAAATATATTAGAAGTAGTTAATTAGATAATCATTAGTTTAAAACTAGCGCCGATTGTGCATAAGAAAGTAAGGCGAATTTTAGTTGGATAAAACGTTTTTTAGATTTCGAAACTTCTTTGATAAGATTAATATTTGGGAGCCTAGCCATTTTCCGCGATATTCGATATAAAAACCGAATTATTAATAAGGTAGTAGTTAATAATAAGTTAATTGTTGAAATTATTTTAGCTTGTTTAACAAATCTGTTTACCCGTAAGCTATTATTTTAGTTAACTAATGACTTAAATATAATGGATCTTATATACGCGATATTATTAGAATTTAGTTTTGTAAATTTTGGTTGAGTGTTGAGCGATTGTTTGTTGTGGAAGGAGGATGGGATTTTAAATTGATTGCTTGGCCGACGATGGGGCTGTGTGCATTGATTAATAATATATAATAAATTTTGTGATATTTGAGCGGTAGATAGTCAATTTTGCAGGGAGGTGCTGCGAAATTCTTCGATAGAACCTTTAGATAGTTTATTAAGTAATGACATAATAATAAGTTTAATTTAGATTAATTCTAATAATTCATAACTATTAAACTAGAGTGCTCTAATTATTATAATTATTTATTTCCCATTATTATAAATTATTTATATTGTTTGTTTATTCTTATATGTTTATTGATTTTATTTATTTAATGTGCACTTGAGAATGGTTTGTATGTTTGTGGCAATTGCATTAACGTTGTAAATTGATTAATATGTCCCTGCATGTCGATGTGCAATGTCTTGATTTAATTGTGTTGTGATATTGCTTGTGCTTTGCTTGTGTGGAATTGGGATGAAAGTGGCGTCACCATGGGCGTTTGTGAGACCGTTACCGTTATCATGGATCCTGAATTATGAAAATTAACCGTTACCGTTATATAACCGTAACTGATTATATGGATCCTGATCTATTACTGTTAAGCCCGGGTAAATCGGGAGATCGCGCGCCCCCATGTGCACTAGTTACCGTTACCGTGTTAACCACAGGATGGCTTCTATGTTGTGGATTAGTCCTGATAATCAGGTTTGATTGAAAGCTCGCAGGGTGGCCTTCCTGTGGAGCAGCGATGAATGATTGGATGGAGACCACCGGGTTGCCTCCTGTTAGGTATGAAAAAGAAAAGAGAGGATAACAAGATAATACCAATGAGAGGGCTGGTCAAAGTTGAGGATTAGACCGGTCGGCTCAGTATGGGGATCGGTCTCCCTGGTGCACATGTGAGAGGATGAAGCCATGTGGGGGACGGCTACATCGGGGGTTCGGTGACGCCACTAGGACCAATTTCCACGTGATGTGATTATTGAAGGTAATTGTTTTGTGAGTGCTTGGTGATTGCTATTTGTGTGACCGGCTTCCGTGAGCATATAACAGTCGATGACCTATAATTTGTGTGACT